GGGGATTTGGGGGGGGAAATCAGGGAATTCTGAGGGGGAAAAGGAGGGAAAATGAGGAAATTTGGGGAAATTTGGGTGAAAGTGGAGAATTTGGGTGAAAATTGGTCAGAAAACGGCGGGTTTAGAGGGAACTTGGAGGGGATTTGGGGGGGAAAATGAGGGAATTCTGAGGGGAAAAGGAGGGAATTTGAGGGAAAATGAGGAAATTTGGGTAAAAATGGAGGATTTGGGTGAAAATTGGTTGGAAAACGGTAGGTTTGGAGGGGACCTGGAGGGAATTGGAGAGTCAGAAACTCAAGCATCAAGCAGAGAGCAAGCCCAGAGGGCAAGGACTGCCCTCTGCTGATCAATCAGCAGGCGCCGGGTTGGGATCGTCGCGCCTTTTGTTTGGCCCTGGCGGGGATCAGAAGCCCAAAAACCACTTTTGTTAGCACTCTCCGTTTATTTTTAATTTGCTTGGAATAAAACCGGTGCCTTTACTTATCAAAATACCAGAGAAAACTACCAGAGAAAGCTGCAGCTTGAATTACAGAGAGCCCAGCCCCGTCAAGATTTCATCAGCACTGCTGTGAGTGGAAGTCTCCGATTCCTGATAATTTATTTTATTTTTTTTTTGAGAGCAAGGGAACTCGAGTCCGTTAAAAAAAAATCCGACCTGTTTAGCTGATGAGATGGAGGTTTGGAGTTTTTTTTGTTTGTTTGTCTGTTTTGGTGGGGTTTTTTTGTGGTTTTTTTGGTTTGTTTGTTTGTTTTGTGTCTGGTTTTTGTGAAAGACTGACAGGACGGGGCTGCAGAAGCCACAGCTCTGCCCAAAAAAAAAGGCGGTAAAAACTGTTTAAAGACAGAAATTTACGCCTTTTAAACAGTAAGGTGTTTATTTATTTATTTATTTATTTAAGGGCTAGTGCTGGGAAAACCGGCTCCGAGTTGCTTTAAGTTAAAATGATTATTTTACGCAGCTCTGGCGATGATTACATCATAACCACGCACATATTCATTTGCAGCCTGTGATGATGAATAACCATCATCTACCATCTTCTCTGGAGAGAGAGAGTGAGGCTTTTCTCCTCCCTTCCTCTCACAGCTGAAAAGTTGCAGGGGGATTACACGAGGACGATATCGGAGGCTCCTCCAAAATAATTTGGAACTGTTTCTGGGAGGGTTCTCTCTGCTCGCTGGGCCTCCCTGGTGGCTGTTTATCTACCCTGGACGGACAGCAGTAAGTAAGCATGTCCCTCCCTCACGCCCAGCTGTACCAAACGATGGACTTTGGGGCTTCAGGAGACTTTCACCAAGCAGTGACTGCTCTGGGGTGCTGATGAGTCCCCCCCTCGGTAGGATGTGAATGCTGCCCCCTCCACAA